TAGGGTGCCAAATGTGGTGTCATCAGCAGTAAGAATCATAGGTCTACATCTGCAGCAGCACTAAAATGTTTTTACTTTATTTCATTTTTACAATAATATATATTTGATCATACAGAAAGCATCATTGCGGGGGCCCACTGGCCATGGGGGCTCTAAGCAGACGCTTAGTTCGCTTATGCTTGACTACATGATACACATAAACATCACATGTACAACTATTTTCAACAGCAACCATAGTCTAAACAGTACAAACTGAAAATCCTGCAAAGTCTCTCATGATCAACCATGACTTCAGAGTAAACAATGAGGTAAACTTCCAAAGCAAACCCTTCTGAATGCCTGGTTTCTTGGTGCGTCCTCTTCGGCCTCTTTTTTCTCTGCACAGTTCTCAAGTTTTACCAGTGTCCTTGAGCTATGTTTTGTAGGGGGCCTCATGACAATCCACAGAAAGTGTGCTCAGCTGTCCTAAGGATCCTCACTGAAACAGTCAAAAAATTGTGACTTCTGTTAAAAGGAGGGAACCAAAAATTTATAGTAAGAACCCTGACCAAGCTAACTCTCTAGGTTTGTTGGTTTATATGTTGCTTTTTCCACTGCACCACCAAGTTCTTTCCTCTTTAACTCAAGCGGTCCTCCAGTAACTCAACCTTTAGTAGCTGTTCAACTTCTCAAGTTGAACAGCTACTAATTACTTCATCAAACTACAGAATGGTGGATTTAAAGCAAAATAATTTGTTCATTCAAAGGCCATTGGTTGTGGTGCGTTGGAGAAAAATCCAAACAATCTTATAATTTCCTTTTTTCGATTGTATTTGGCTCATGCCTGAGTCTGTTATGGCTCAACAGCAGAGTGAGTGACATCTCTAAATATGCTTACTTTATTGTTTTATAGTTTGAAATGAAAAAGAGTGAAAATGGGTCAATGTCTTGTCTTTGATTGCAGGGTTTCAGTCTGAAGTGGAGGGTATTGATTGTGAAATGTTACTGCTGTAAAGAAATCAGACAGAAAGATGATATATAATTGGTGGAAATTCATGTGTAACTGACAGCCAGTCGGAGTGAAATGATTGCTGCTTTTGATAATGCCCATCCTCAAGAGCTCAGTGTCAAAAAAGCTTCTAGGATGTCCCCCTACCTACCCACACACCCCCCACCTCCAACTCACAATGAGACACAAATTGTCACAACCATCTGACTGGTGATAAAAGAAAAGTGTGACTGTTTGATTTCATGACAGCACTTTGATCCTCCATGTCTTGTTAATAATACCTCTCTGATTGGTTCAAATTTTGACCCTGAACTCATACAATCAAATGCACCAAGATCCTGACCTTGAGGACGGTGTTTCCCTCTACCACTCCCTGAGTCAAAGTCACACCTCTCTCTTATAGATTTCTTTTTCCAAACTGGGAATGGAAAAACTGACTTTTTAAACATCTTTTCTGACAACCTCTCCATTTTCCACCTGCTCCTCTCTCCCAATCGTCTTCAGCTCCTCAGATTCTCCCCTAGCATGCACAGCAGTCAGTTGAAATGAGTAACGGCTGGCCATTTCTGCTAGATCGACATACGTTACCAAACCATCCATCAAGCTGCTGACATTTCTTCAATGCTCTCTCAAGAGAATGAGCCATACACATTTGCACAGTACACATGCACATACACACATATTCACTCCACAAACTCCCACAAACCCCTTTAAAATCAACCATCAGCCATTCTGAGTTCCCTTACCCAGCATTTGCTGGCAGGGTCAGCACTGGGGGAAGGAGCAGGCTGGATACAAAGCTGTAAGTAGAAGTGTAAAACCACAAAGATGGAGATGCTGAGAGGTTTTACCAAGAAATCAAGCGGGAGCTATAATGCTTCCCCACTCTAGATGACAGTAAAAAAAAATTCACTGTTCCCCTATTGGCTGGATTTAATGATTCTACAACAATGGCGCCAATGAAGTGTCAGAAAGAAGCACAGGTGTGCATTTTCGCCAAGCTAGTGTTGAACATGAAGTGGGTGTAGGAGTGAAGAAAATTGCAGTTCCTCCATGGCTCCTGGCTACAAAACATCCCTGTCGGGCCCCAATGTTGGTTGCTGTGGCTGATTTTTTCTCATGTTACAATATGTTTTTTTAAATTTTTAATTTACTGACTAAATTAAATAGACCCTCCAAGTTTGGGATATGGGGTTACTTTAAGCAACATGACAGGTTATTCAATAAATTCAGTTTCTTATGTTTTTATCACCGATGGGATTTGATCTTGAAAGCATGAATGATCAATAGGACTTCATGTGTGGTTAATGGCAGAGATGTGGCCTGTAGTTGTCAGACCAACTCACCTTGGTGAACAGCTCAGAAGCTGTTCGATTCATAACATTTGTGCTATTCATACCTGCAGGCGCTGGGAATAGTTGCATTCAAAAGTACCCTTGGAAGTGATTATGCAGACCCAAAAACAATTAATGTAGCATGTGACCAAGCCCATAGCAAAAAAAAAGTAAACTGAATGTAACTTTAAATGAAAATGTATCCCTTCTCACTCCCAAGTGCTCTTGTTTCAATGAAAATACATTATATGGCTTGTTGCCATGGTCACCATAGCAGATAAAAATTGAAGTTACATGAGAAGAAAACCTTGAATAAGACAAAATCTTAATATTAAATAAAAATAAAGCACCACTTCTCTTATTAGTTCTTTGGATATGACTAGTCAGGTTTAAAAAAAAAAGTGTACCAAACATGGTTTTAAATACTTCTCTAGATATTCATCCCCACCATAACCTACAGACATTTTTAGGAGTACATGTATGAAAGACTGTCCAGTCCCCCTGTTTCAACCCTCTGTGGCCTTCAGAAGTTATACTTCATTAATTTCCTGTTTCACAACCTTTCCGACCACTTCAGCGATGTTTAGAGAAGAGAAATCCACGGACTGTTTGGTTTCCACTTCCTACACTTACTCACTAATGCACAGAGCTCCTTCAGGCCTTTCGTTTCATTGCCTTTTCTATCTCTCCCTCTAGCACTTTCACCAATTGTAGGCCACAACCAAGTGTGACCATGGAGAGCTATTTCAGCTCAATGGCCCACAATCTTGTGCTTTTTGGGGGCTTTAATTTCTTTGTTTCTCTCAATCTTTAGAGCCTAATACATCTTATCTTTCAAAGTCTTCAAGCTTGAAGTAAGTGTAGCTGTAGGATCAGCCCACCTCTGTGCCTCTGTAAGTCCCCAGTCACTCATAGATTGTGTTTCATGGACAGGGAAAAGTTACAGGTCCTTAAGAAACACTATAAGTATTTTAAAGAGGCAATTGAGCACTGGAAAACACACCAAATGATAAAGAAAACCAGACCTTGTGCACAACTTGAAGAGAAAAGATCTACATCATAATTGCTGATATTTTGTCATATCGTCCGATCTCGATTATTATCACATTTTTTTTTTTATGTCAAGTTTGTTTTCCTTTCATCGAAATGTTAATTTTGCAACAAACACTGCTTAAATATAGTTTACAGCTTAAACTGACCTGAATCATCCCAAACTGTAAAGTAAAAGTATCAATCCAGTGTCTGTGAGGCTCAGCAGAAACACAGGACTATCTCTGGTTGTCTGGAAACCTTGAAACTTTAGACAAATATAGTGATCTGATTCATGAATGAATGCTGACCATGCTACAAGAAATTCCCGGGAGAAATGACAATACGGGGGGTAGGCGGGAGATAGGTCTGAAACACGGGAGAGTCTTGGGAAAACAGGAGTGTTGGCAGGTATGGATATGATTGATAGCTGCTTTGGTCTGTGGCTGCACCGCTAGTTGTGGCTAAACTGCTAATGCTACTCGTGCCGTCAGCAGTGACAGGCTGTACACACTCCACTAGCATTTCCATGCTTTCCACATAATCACTCGGGAAGAACTTCTTCAAATGTTTAAACAGACTTATGTTGCTGGTTTATCGGCTTAATTGCTCGACGTCACTTTGGAGAGACGTTGAATAACTTCTCAACAATAACATCTTCTGAGAATGACTCAAAGTCACAGCTCACATCTATTTTGCTGCCCTCAGCTCCGCGTTTAGCTCCATGTTCAGTCATTCTGTTTATTTCTCCTGTTTACTTCTCCGGTAACTTACACAAGTGAGCAGGAAAAGCTTGACTCTGATTGGCTGTTGTGATGCACATTTCCACCATGTTTGATCGAGTAAATATGCTCTCAGCTGATCACTGTGATCGAACTGAAATTTACTGCGATCATTGATCACGATCACATAATCGCCCAGTCCTACTGCGCAGGGTTCGCCACCCTTTGCCACTCCGCACGAAAATAGAGCCCTTAATGTCTGTTTGGTTAACGTAAAATGACATAACCACATACAAAATGTGCAGTAATACTTGTAAACCAGCTATACGGTCATGTGTTTGTTGTACAGCTATATCATGTTATCATGAGCTTGAATAAGTTTAAAGGGCGTGGTCATGTGCCCCACCCCAACCTGATTTTTTCTGTTCATGCACCCAACACCTAATCTGTGGATTTTTTGACTTATTTACTCGTTTAAAAGCTAAACAGTTTTCATATCAACAAAATCAGAATGGAGACACTGTGTGTGTGTGTGTGTGTGTGTGTGTGTGTGTGTGTGTGTGTGTGTGTGTGTGAGAGAGAGAGAGAGAGAGAGAGAGAGAGAGAGAGAGAGAGAGAGAGAGAGAGAGAGAGAACTATTGGCAGCAGGAGCTGCAGAATGAGTGCATGTGTTCTGCACAATAAAATTTTCCACACCTGGAGCCGGTAAACACCATCTTTCTCTTGCTGTCAGTGCACAGCCAGCACTGGCGCTTACTCTTCTTGGCGGCAGTCTCTCCCTTGCTCTCTGGCTGTGATCTCCCCCTCTCTCTCTGGAGGTGCTCCTCTCTCTGTGGCAGTGCTGCTCCCTTCTCTGCTGTCCTCTGGTTCAGGGGCTTGGAGGTTGGTCACTATGGCACCAGCCAATGGTGTGTAAGGAAGGCGCTGTCACTGCTTCATTTGGGACTTCCCTAGTATCATGCCCAGCTCCTCTACAAACATTGTCTTTTGTAGGATGCTTTTGGGTTCTTTGTGAGGTTGAATTCTGTCCAAAACATTGAAGTACTGAAGTGCTGAGATGTCAAGGACGTTTTGAAACTGAGCCACTGGCCCCCTGACCGTCGTACCCTGGCACGTGTAGGTGCTCGCAGCCTTGAAAAGACGGAAAAAATATGTATTTGTCAGTGTAAATACAAAAACTAAAAACAAATGCACTTCTGTAAATAACAATACAGGTGATTGCAGAGTGTGAAAAAAAGAGTATATGAGCAGTCAGTCAAATGTGCAGTAGTTCATACCTTATCTAGGTTGTTCAGCCCTCCTTTGCAGCCGTCATAATCAAGATTGATCTCTGGTTTCTTTTGCTTCATGGTGCTGACTGCTGGCTCTCTGTGTTGTGTACTTAACAGTAAAACATTCCTCCTCTGCTTGGCAATGTAAGACACAATGTCACGGGTTTGTTCGGGACAAAAATGATGGTGCGGTCAAAAACTCCAGTGTGGTGCGTTTTCATTCACACCAGCTGCCCAAAAACAGCAAACAGTGAAAAAATGTTTACAGTGCAGGAAACAAAACAAACAATAGTCAAATAAATGATGTATTTATGTCAAGTTTTTTAGAGGGAATTACACTTGCAAAGCGCTTTGCCCTGGGCAAATCTATAAACCAACTATAGAAGTTTAAGATACAGTATGCAAAATAGAACACAAAATTCATCTATAAATCAGACATTTCAACATGGACAAAAGGGACTAATAGCCCTCCAACGGTGGGGTCCAGTGGTCACATGACCCCTAAAAGTGTGCCACCTTACGCCATATACTGAGGGACCAGGAAGTACTTTGGTTTGGCTTGGAAGATGGCAGCAGGTAAGTTGGTGTGTGGCGTGTAGTCGTCGCGTGTGCACCCTCAAACGCCTACAGCAGGGAGAAACAAGTCCAAGTTAAAAGGGAAACGATTGGTTGGAGTGTAGGACCACAGGACACAGGTGCAGGGAAACAATTAAACAGTTTGATGGAGCTTGGCACTGTGGGGAACGAGTGCGCACTTCACGCACCAACACTCAAGCCACGAGAGAGAGACCCGCGCCAGTCAGTGAATGACGGGGCATTTAACGGTGCTCCGTCACACACGACCATCGTTGCCTTAGTAAATGTGAAGAGGGATGAGTAGAGAGGTCTGTTTTTGGCTACCAGGAGTTGGGGGGGTCAGCTCCAGCTGGTTTTTTCTGATGGCATAAACCAGGGCAGCTTTTTGGTATGGAAGCTCTTCTGCTGGTCCATATGAAGTGAAAAAGTTAATACTCCACAGGTGTTGCCCCGTGGGTCATGGGTCAACAGGAACTGTTTTTGTCCTTTGTATTTGCTGAAGATTTCTCATCCACTGTGGTCATCTCACAGGCTGTGGACAGATTTGTGATGCTTGCCATGCTCCTGGGGGTCTGCGGATGATCCTGAGAAGCTGGAGTCAGGCACACATGGCAGCTCCTCCTCAACTTCCTCTATGAGATACTCTACCCAGTCATTGAACTCCTCTGATCCATTTCCTCCTCACTCTCTGAGGACTGTTTTACTCCTGTGACATCTTCCAAAGAGAACCTAATCATCATCGCAGGTATGAAATTGAAATTCACCAAAGCAATACTACAACTCAAAGGTTGAGCTGCATAAACTCATCAATTACCAGCACTGACCTGACAACAAAGACAGTGATTATTGAGGTTTCTTTTAAGTTGCATCTTCTCAAGTTATTTGTCATTATTTCATTCTTTTGAGAGAGTTCAGGTGTTTTGTATGACCTATTTATTTAATTTGAACTTGATAAGGGTTTGTGCTCCATAATGCACATACCCTCAATACACATGCTACATAACACACGTACAGTAACACCCACACACACCAACATCTTTTTGGCTACATTTTGGGATTTTTTGGGATTCTGGGTTTAATAACACGGTATAACTCTTACAGCTTTATCCAGTTAAATAAGTTTATAAAGCAGTCATTCAATGAATCATAAAAAAAAGTTATAATTTTTATCATTCTCAGTTAGAAAAAAAAGTCATAAATACTCACAACACGTTAAAGTATGACTTTAGGCACTTTAAAAAATCTACACAAAGATGTCTTTTATTCAAGCTGAAAATGACAGACACACACTCACACTCACACACAGTGTTTAGACATCCAAATCAACACTTACGGACCATTTGAGTTGCAACACATGAGCACATCCCACAAGCTGTTAAGAAGAAGTGCATCCTTATAGAAAATGGTAGTGGAAAATTATGGTAAAGACAAGAAATCAGAGGCCTTGTCTGTAAATTGGATGCACTTTCTCAGAAATAGTATGTATTGTTGTTTGTTTGTTTTTTCTGTAAGGGCCATTTGATCAAATTTTGCATTTATCATGGGTCTAAATGTGTCAGTTTAGTCAGTCAGTTTAATGGATGGAAGTGTTGCTATTTTGATTTGACAGAGCACAATATGTCTATTATGACAAATTGAGTTAAAAAATGTATTGCAAATTTCTGCCAAATGTAATGCCATATAAATGAGTACTGGTAAAACCACAGTGAAAACAAATTGTGAATGTCTTCAGGGAGGACATTGGCCTGGTTAGTATGTACTATGAGTCTTTTACACAAACTCGTTAAGCTGCTAGGATCTAAAGTCATCTACACTGTTCAAAAATCATCAAAAATAGTTAGGAGACACTTTTTCTGGCTAACTTATTGCCAGTTAATGAATCAGCCATAGGCACAATCTGTTTGGCTCTGATAATGCAGGATTTGCCAGTCCTCTCCAAACCTTGCCCTTTTGTCTGTCTTTAAATTACATCAGGCTCCAAAAGACAATTATGCTAACGGCCAAACTGCATTACGTAAGGCTTAGAAACAGAATATAATGATGTATAGTCCTGACTGGAAAATAATTTTTGAGGACAAACAGTATATCATTTATTATAGACAATTTATATGGCTCACAGCAGAGGTCTACATGAAGCATGTTCAATGTTCTCTTGGGGCCGGATCAACTAAGATCCCAAATAGCCAATGCTAAATTGCGTGTGCAAACTAAAAAATAGCACATGCTATTAGTGGGCATGTTGCGGGTGATCTACTATCATTGCATGCACAATTGACAACAGGAGAAAAAGTGGTGTGGACCGGCCCCTAAATGAGGATTTTGTGTGTCACCATGGAGAGTTTGTGAGAGCAGAGTGATCGTAGATAAAAAATTTAGTTTGAAGCCAGGAAAGTTTATCTGTATAGCACCATTTATACACCAGGCAATTCAAAGTTCTTTACAGATGTAAAAAAAATATATTTGAAATGAAAAAAGGAGATTCAAACAATTTAAAATCAATAAGACAAAGAGATAATTTTTTGTGACTGTTTCGTGTTGTAGTGATTTGAAATGAGCCTCATACGGTCGCACCAAAATATATGTAGCGATTTGAAATGAGCCTCACAAGGCCGCACCAAAATAATACTTGGCGATTGGAATTTATAATAAATGTCTGAAGATTAATAATCTCAAATTATGACATTTATGCACTCGTTGAAAGGGGCACCACCCACCCTTAATGGTGGGAAAATAAAGAAAACAAAAGTTTAATTCAGAAATCAAACATCAAGTCAGTTTTAACTAATCAGTCTTAATTAATCAGTCTTAATTAATCAGTCTCATATCTTAAGTCGAAATTCTAATTTCAGGGACTCCACTTCTGGAAGAACACTAACAGACAGGAACTTAGAAAAATAATGATCTGTTTATTACAGGATAAATGATGATACAACACACATGCAATAAATGATGATAAGATAATGAAGATAGATAATAATAGGTGAATAAATAAAGATTCTGAGTCAGGCTAGGAGCACTAAAGTTAATGATAGTGAGTGAATATGCGCTAACATATTAACCTACACTAACTTTGGTGTCGAGATAAACTCGGGTGTAGATTTGGAGGAATCTAAGATCACCAGAAATAGGTGGATATCTGAGTTATGAACGCATGAGACAGCATCAGCCCTGTCTGGAGCTCTGGAGGTTTGCATACTTAAGTGAGACTGGTCCTTGGAGAAGATGGAGCAGGTTCCGAAGGTCCGGGGCTACTGGCGGTTCGAGCGGTTCAGCTCAGAAGACGACTGAAGTCAGCCGAAGGATGAGCCAGGAGTTGCAGCACTCGGGCCCGAAGCAAAGCCAGCGCCTGTGGATCCTGTGGATGCTCGTTTGGGTACTTCTTTGGTCTCACTCAAAAACTCTAGCACAGAGGATGACCTGGGCCTGCTGGGTTGCGTTCAGAGGTGACTTTGAAATCACGCAGAAAACTCAGAAAAACGAGGCTCGAAGAGCAGAGAAAACTTTCAAAAATGGCTTCGCGAAATTAAAGAAAAATCAATCAAAGGCTTAATCTTGAATTGCTATGCGCACAAAAAGTTGAAGTTTCAAAACTTGAACTAAGACGATGTTAAAGAAAAATCAACGTGAATCAACACGTGGCGTAAAACTTAGAAGACTAAGAAAAAGTTCTAAGATAAAACAAAGAAACGCACCACAGAAGGGTGTGGGCAGAAAAGAAGGGCCCAAGAGTAAGGGGCCTAAGAGAGACAAGAGAGTCAGCACACAAGAGAGTGAGCAACCCGACTTCACTGGTTTTATCTTCTCACACTGGGAGTGTCTCCGGCGTGTGTGTGTGAGAAAGAGGAGGGGTCATGGTCTCTGATTATTTGATCTAACTTATTCTTTTGGCTGGTAAAAGAGTCAGATCTGATACTCACTCACTATGACTAATATCATTGAATGCTTGGTTTCATGATAAATAATTTGATACTAAACACATATGAATGAAGTGTAGGATCACATCAAACATTCTCATTATGTTTTAAGTATCACATTGAACATGCTAAATTACTCTGAAATGAAACAGATAGTAACACATGGAAACTGTGAACAACAAAAGAGTAAATACATGTGAATGAACTTCATCATGATTAATAATGGATTCTAAATACTCACATTCAGATTATTCAATGACATTATAACCACCTAATGGTTAAAAATACTAAATAAACAATTAAAATATAGAACAAACATTTCTAAACCATTTCTGTTACTTTAGAGTAAAGTTATGAGTCACAGTCAATAAATTTAACTCTTAAAAGTTCATGAAACAGTCTAAAAAGCTGTTGGTCTAAAGAAAATAAAGAATAAGGATTTATTCTGTCACAGTGATAACTCGGCTTCTGAAGCACCTAGAAAAACGGGAAACATCTCATTTTAACACAAATTTCATGATTAGACAGATTAGTACATTGCTGAATGCATAAGATGTCAGGATCAGTCACTTGTATTCTTTCACCAAA